CTATTGATTTTTTTTAAAAGGCTCCCCCCAAGCCCTTTATGCTTCAAGGTAAATCATAAACATTTCCAGTAAAGAGGAATGTTTACAAAACTTTGCCCATATCTAACTCATAATATCACTCACATGAAACGTTTGATAGCTTTTCCTTGTATTTTAAGAGATAACAATCCTTTGGCAGAGCTTGGAAATACATACAGTAGTGAGAAGGAATATTTTACTAGTAACCAGTTACCTTTCTAAGAAGTAGTGTAACTAGTAGTTACAGTGTTACAACTTACTTCAGTATACAGTATTTCATATTTTGACCAGTTCATGCAATGAAACAACATTACCACAGTAATGTCTCTGAGACAAATCCCCCATCCACCCAAAGTATTACAGTAGCTCATGATGAAGTGGAAACTGCCCCCTTTATTCTAGGAGGACAAATCAAATCAGAATGTACAGGACAGGTTTTCTTGAAGTTTTTCAGAGAACTGCAGGATAGGCAAAGCAAAGCAAAGTGTGAAATCCCACCCACCCCGTATGCCTTGCCAATGGACTCAGTTCCATCAGCAGAACACCTGTGCTGGATTCTGATAGATCTGCTTCAGAGTCCCTATAAGATGATGTCTGCAGGATGTAAGAGGGACTAGACAGAAGAACTTGTCACCAGCGTGATTCAGCAATATCATTAAAAAGGTGCTCTATTTATACAAAAGATTCCCCAAAAGATTTTACTGATGAGGGACTCCAAATGACTCACTTTTTTTTCCCAATGTGTCCCTCATGGCAAATAATGGCATTGTAAATGAGTGATCTATAATCCTGTGAAGAGGGTAGTCTGTGATTTATTTAGGGCTTATAAATTGGACTTCATTCCTTAATTATCAGCTGATGGTTTTGCAAGAAAACCTCACCAATGACTATTGACTTTGCCTGTCATCTACTTCCCACTTCCACTATTGGATTCCCTATGGGGGGTTGGGGGGTGGAATTACATAGTATGTGCAAAGGTAATTGTCTAGTATCAAAGAACACAGGAAAACAATTGCCAGAGTTGTGTTCCAATACAGAGCGGAACAGTATATGTATGTGCATATTTAGACAAATGTTATGAGCATCTCATGTTATACATTTCTTCTGATTTCCAAATTAAATATAGATTATTATCAAGGCAGTAAGTAATTCAGGGCAACTGGCACTCTGCCCTGTGGCACCAAATATAGAGGGCATAGCCCTTCTTTCAGATTCCTAAGACTGACCTAGTAGCCTGGCCTACCACCATAGTCAATATTGCCAAGTTAGACTGCCTCGACTTGAGGAGCCAGTTCAGCATGGAAGTGCGTCACGCTCCCAAGATAGCTCACCTCCAAGTCAGAAGAAGACAGTGTGCTTCTCTTTCTCTTCAGGATCTCTCTAATTGGTGCAAAACGCCTCTGTTTCAGTTAGCACCCATTCCTTTTGAGAAGCAAAGCACACTTATACACAACATGCACAGAATAACTGATTTCTTATTTTAAAAGTTGCAAACAATCTCTCTGATGCTTCTGATAATTAAAAGTCAATGCAAAAGAACAGGAATCACAGTCTTTTTGGCCAGTTCAACTATTTATTTTAAATAGTTGTGTGCATTAATGTATATTGTTGCTTGATACACACATACACACACGCACAAACCCTTTCCCATGTTCTTCTGCCAAGAATACAGCCGAATGCCTTCTGTCTTTGTGGACTGAGGAAAATAGTTGCCAACCATGTGTTGGATCAGACTAGTGATGATTTCCATACCTAATTCTGAATCATGGAAAGAGTTAATGCCAATCAGAAATTTCAACTTTTGTAGAGAACAGAAAATAATGTGATCGTCGCTACTTCTTGAAACTTTTGATAGTCCTGTTGCTCATCTTATTTATATATCAACGCTAGAAAATGAAATTAGTATTTTTAGTAATTAATAATTATTTAATAACTTTTTTAGTAAAATGATATTTTAAGTGGACAAATTATTATTTATAAATATTATTGCATTCCAAGGAATGAAGATTAGGTTTTTAAAATTATTGTTATTATTGCAGAGAAGAATTTCTAAGCAATGGTGAGGAGGACACTGGCATCCTTCCATGTTTTATCTGAATCCTTTTAAAAACCTCAAGATAGATTACAGCAGTTTTGATAAACTGAGGAAAAATCATCAGTAGCAACAACAAGGGAGGGTAGCCAGGGCACTTAGTGAGCAGCAGGAGAATTTTGTGAAGAGCAAGTACTGTATAACTTCTGTGTCATGGCAGCTCACACGGTGATTATTCGATCACACTATAACTCCTCTGGAACATTTTATTCATACCTTGTGTATAATTATATTGTTTCCTAGGGATTGCCGTAAGTTAAAAAATTGTAGCAGGAATGTTTTTGCTTGGAATATTTATCTGGTGGGGCCCACTGTATTGAATTGGTGCAGAGTTGAAATGGAAGGTGTTTTAGGAGTAAAACACAGAGTAAAGGAATATTTTTAAATCTTGGCCTAGATTCATCATAAGCAATTATTTCAGAAGCACATATTCACTAGAGAAATAGTATTTCCTGTGCTTTTGAAACTTATCTAATTTACCTGACTGAATGACAACATTAGTACAATTAGATCTTGTAGTAGAATCAGAAATTATGTGATGCACCCCTTTGCCACACACACAAAAAGTCCAGACAGTCAAACACATGTAAAAAATGCCAATTCAAAAAGGCCAATGATGCACTGCAACTTCCATCAGGTGTAGTAGCATAACCAGTGATGAGTATCCATTGGCCTTTGTTATATCATCAGTCATCCCATCAGCATAACCAGTGGGAGTTGCTATCAAGCTACAACTGGAGGGCCACAAGTTGCCTGTCTTTGCCTTGCAGTTATTTTCTCATTCACAGTCCCCAATAGCATGCACTGTTCAAACCAGCACTTCGTAGTGTCATGTTACTTCCTGGGGGTACCTGCCACCTTTTGCTGCAACCATACATAAATCACATGAATGTGTTGAAAAAGGGGAGAAAAAATGGAGGACTCAATCAAGAGACGAGACAGAAGAAATGGATTCAATTAGGACTACATTTGTCAAACATTACAGAGAAAGAGAACTGTGCAGGAATCTAGTATCTAAATCCAAAAAGAAAGATGTAGATGTGTCATGGAGAACCCATTATCTCTACTGTCCTGCCTTTCTCTGTTATTCAACTTAAGGGAGGTGGCAGTACACCTCATTGTCTCCTAGAGTAACCTTGGCTGCATTGCATAGCAGCCCAGAGCGCAATCCTCCTTCAAGTAAATGAATTAAGGCATTCATAGGAACATAAGAAGCCGTCTTACACCCAGAAGACTGGTGGCTTATTTACCTCAGAATGATCTAAACTGACTGGCTGAATTTCCTGACTTTTCAGACTGCAATTATTTTTCTCAGCCCTGCCTTTAGATATCAGGGATTTAATCTTTTGCTCACAAAGTGTATTTTACTGCTAAATTACAGGCCTTCCCTTTTACTCTCTTGTAATCACAAACTAATGAGGAAATCCACATATTGTTATAGAAGTGACAACTAAATGTGTAAATGGGGCACAGCCTTATAGTATCCTTTCTGAATTCAACATATAAAAATAATTTATTGTATGATAAATATTGCTGCAATGTCAGAATATTGTGTTGGATCTGCAACAACTACATGCTACCCTAACATCTTTTCTTTGGATTGGACCATCAATTCTTCTATACATAGATGCTACCAGAAGTCCATTCTTTTTTTTTCTGTAGAAATATGTCACTGCAATGGAGCTGACAAGTACAGTTTCCTATACAGAAGCACTGTATGTTGTTGTTTTAAATCAGTAGGTAAATAAGTTAAACATTCAATTTTAAGAAATTATAAAGAGGGTATCCTGTTTAAACACTGGGATTTGCTGTGCTTGCTTATTTAGTCCTAGAGAGATTTTTTTTTCTCCAGTAGCTGAGTCCTGCTGCATTCTCTAGCAGCAACTCTCAGCAGCTAGAGTTGGAATCCTTAGGCTGGATTTGCAGTCATTTGGGATTAAGGCCCCTTGAACTGATTGACCAGACAAACAGGATTCTACTGCTAGTGTTTTTCACCTGTGAGCAGCTATAGTATTGCATTGGCTAATGAAATCAGGCTAAAGGCTTGTAATGTAAACAGGAAGCATATTTGTTGCACACACATACATTAATGTTTTTTACAGGGTTTTTTTCTTTGCCTTTGAAGCCAACATTCTGTCTGGCTTTCCCTCACACCGCTACAGTATATATAGATTTAACACAGAATGGTTTTCTGGATGACAACCATATTCTCAACAGTGCCTGAATGCGAGCGTGAAATACCTTTCCCCCTTCTCCTCATCCCTGCCACTCTCTGTACAACCCAAACACTGGCTCCAGAACATTCCCAAGACATCTGAAGAAGTTGGGGAAGCCCTCAGTGCTGCAGGAGTGGGCAACCACTCCGTTTGATTCTACTTTTGATGTAGTTATATGAGCAGAATCACCTTATAGAATATTGGCCAAGCAAAGACGTAGTCTGCACTTGCTTTCCTTCATAAAGACTGTTGGATTAATGGAAAAGACACTGATGATGGTACCCCTCCAAATTAGGGTGAAGCAGCTCTCTACTTGGTTGTTGAGCCACCCCTAAACTAAATTATACAGTGTTATCAAGTAATCGTAGCAAAGTAAGTAGCAGTAACAATGTGTGTGTATGCGTAGTAGCAATTATTGTAGTGTTCAAGTCCATTTGCTTCAGCATTTTCATTTGTTATTGTGGGAGTTTGTCAGGGAGAGTGTAGCCATCTTGTAAGCAGACCCCCTTTGTAAACAGTGCTGATTATTACTTTCAGCATCATAGTAGATTTATCTTGAGAGAACATAGATGGGATTGAGAGAGTGAAGTAGACTTTTGGAGCATTTTATTCATTCATTCATTGCTTTCAGATAACTGATCCATAATGTTATTTCCCTTTTTTTTCTCTTTCAGGACCATGCAGTCCTAATCCCTGTCACAACGGTGGAATATGTGAAATCAGTGAAGCATACAGAGGAGACACATTTATAGGCTATGTCTGTAAATGTCCACGGGGATTCAATGGGATCCACTGCCAGCACAGTAAGTTATAAGACAAATATTTCCCTTCCTGCCTCCTTAGGACTACATTTAAAGCTGCACTTCCGCACATAATTATGCTACTAAAATTTTGCTGACCAGTCAACAGTTTTTGGAAAGCTCTATGCCATTGCTTGGACAGTGTTGTCGAAAGGACCAACATGAATTTGACCCAACTCCGGGAGGCAGTGGAAGACAGGAAGGGCTGGCGTGCTCTGGTCCATGGGGTCACGAAGAGTCGGACACAACTAAACAACAAAAATGCTATTTTGTTTCATTTCTCTATATATCTTGGATGAGGATCAGGCAATGTGGCTTCTAGCAGGTCTTACCATTGGGGACCTCTCTGATGGCCCCCTTGGTGGGAGGCAGCATGTTTTGAACAACACTACAAGTGAAACAGAACTGGCTGGATGAGCCTAGCTACTCCGAAGTGATGGCCCACAATGAAGCTTCACCAGAGGCACTGTGTTAAATTAAAATGACAATCACCTAAGTAGTGAAAATCCTTAGAAATGACAGCAGAGCAGAGTTCATCAGGCCTTAGCAGCTGCTTAAGGCTCTAACTGCTGAATTCTGGGAACACTGAGGCCAAGAGAAGGGATTCACATTTGGCATGTAGATTTTTGTTGTCATTTACAGCACTGGTTCTTAACCTTGGGTTACTCAGGAGTTTTGGACTGCAACTCCCAGAAGCCTTCACCACCAGCTGTCCTGACTGGGGTTTCTGGGAGTTGCAGTTCAAAAGCATCCGAGTAACAAAGGTTAAGAACCACTGATTTACAGGGAGTTGGAAAACTCTTAAGCTGAGCTACTTTTCATAAAATCAGGGTGAGCTGAATACTTTCCAGTACGTTCAGGAGTATCAGAAATTGGAATGTGCCATGGCCTGATTCGCCGTTGGGCTCAGGGCTTCATCTTGATGTTGTCAGCATTTTATTTGGCTAATGATGTCTGAAGATGAAAGGGTTTGGCAAAAAGCTGATATTTATGCTAATGGATTTCCCATATCCTCTTTCCCGATCCATTTTAATACTAGCCCAAGACAGGTGCTCTTAGTCATGGTTTTTAATTCAGTCGTAAGGCTTTCCTTAGGGCTTTATTAATGGACATACTGGATTTTAAAATGATGGGGTTCTAACATTTACATTGAAAGAAGAACATTAATTCTACCCAAAATTTGTTATAATCAGTTGGGGAAATATCTATTAAATTATAAATTAAAGGACTTTTTAAAAATGCTATCTTATTGCTTTTTAAAAGAAAAATGACAGTTTTATCCACAAAATGCCTGCCTTTTCCATGTTGGCTGAGTCATTGTTTCTCTATTTGCAGCAACTTTTGTATAGTACCAAAACCAACAGCTAGACCAAAGCAGACCAGGCCCATTGAATCAATGGAATTTAGATCAATATTGTCTTATCCAATCCCACTTGTTTAGTGGATGTTGTAGGGTTGGATATTTAGCTCAAATATTAGCTGTTTGTGGAAAATATTTGAGGAGCCACTTCATTCATGAAACTTTTCTGTGCAACATCAGGGTCTTTTGCAGGGAGTCTTCTCTTCTCATGAGATGGCCAAAGTATTGGAGCCCCAACTTCAGGATCTGTCCTTTTAGTGAGAGATAGGAAGGTCTTTTTGAAAATCAAATGAAAACCTTAAAAGTGCTTATCTAACTTTCTCCACATTTGGCACAGAGCAAGTTCATACTGCCTATAATCTCTCTGCCAAAGTACAGTATGGTCCGAATTCATTCATGAATCCATTCAAAAGTTAGAACGCCAAAACAGAATTTTCCTTTCTGTCTCAGACACCAAGTCTTAAACACACACCCACAGCTTCCCCTTGTCTCAGGTTCAGCTGCCTTTGAGTTCCCTCAGCCTAACTGCCCTTGGCTCCGCTTTGTCCTCTCAGAGTTTTCTCCAAACTCAGGACAAGCCAGCCAATCTGCCACTGCTTTTGCTTTGGGCAACTCTCCACAGAAATGGTCACCACAGAGCCTCCCTGTCTTTGCCCCAATCTGAGGTCCCGCGCCCTTCTACTAGACTTTCTCCCCTGTGAGACAAGTCCTAGAAGGTTACCCACGCATTCACTCAGATGTCCCTGACTAAAGACCCCTGCTCTGGGCACCTTTCCAGTCAAGGCTTCACTGGATCTTCGAATCCCACACGCTGGACACCAATTTATTGTAACAGCCACCCTCAAACCTAAAAGAGTGGTTGCTACTTTACTTTAAAGCTCTGCTGCCACCAGCTTATCCTTAAAGAATCATAAAAGGACAAGTGTAACTTTGGAAACAAAAACTGGTTTATTGATTACAAAAATAAAAATGGTAAATCACTGGTGAAGAATCAATTAAACAATCACTGTTAATAAACGCTGGCTCACAGAGTATTTCTCCACTGACAGGCTCACTCACTCACTAAAACTAACAATCACTTTAAACTCTCAGCTCAGACTCTCATCTCCAATCTCCCCTCACACACTCTTCACCCCCCTTTTTATACTAGCTCCTCCCCTTAAGTTCCACCCTCTGTCACACCATAGGCTGATGACTCCCTGCCCAGCTGTGACGGACATGTGATGTTATGTCTGCCCGTTACAGTGAGTATAAACCAAGAGTCCTGTGGCATCTTAAAGACTAACTCTTTTAATCCTTAGCATAACTTTTTGTCTACTTAGCTTATCAAACCCATTCACAACATGTTAGCTTCTTTCAGTCGTATTTTGTGTGATCACCAATACATACAGAGTTATATACACTCTTCTTACTTCCTGTTCCCTTGTCTGAGCAATGAGTTGTAGATCCACAAGACTTCAGGTGTGTGCTTTGTCAAAATACGTCCAATGTAGAGACTGATGTGACCTTATCCAAAAGCATGCCGTGCAGCCTGTCATTTAGTTTTATCTGAAAATTGATTAAGTCTAATATTGCCTCACCAAATCAGTTAATCTACATAATTGCAAAACCTATCCAACAACGCTGGGAAAGTCATGCCAATGAATCTCAAACCAGTCTTTCTCTGACCTTTTGTTCATATAGTAGATCGTGCAGACAATTAATATGGAAATTGAAGAGCAAATCACTGTTATTTTTTTTACTGATTGCATATGCCAAGCTTGACAGCTGTGGTTTCTTATTAATTTTTAATATGCTTCGGAAGCTTCTGATATTTCAGTGGTGACACCAATGTGCACATATTCTGTACCACTATGAGGGCTCATAAGCTGAACAACAATTAGTGTGGGTGAGAAAGAAATCTCATATGCCTGGAATGGAGTAGCTAATAACACAACATAATTTGTCACTAAGCTCTCTGACAAGGCCTGACAGGGTAGACTTGACACATCTGTTACATAAGGGTTGATAAACTACTGTTACACAGGGTCTGGTATACAACCATTATCCTTTGTAACAGATGTATATATATTTTTCCTAGACATTCCTTGCAGCATAAAGGGATTCACAGGATTTAATAACAAAATTAACTGCATTTCTCGCTATCCCCAAATCACATTTAACACCTTTTGTTGCAGAACCATTTGCCATGATGTAATCCAGTGAAGAACAAAATAAAGACCTCAGACCTCCTTTAAGCAAATGACACATTGGCATTTTCTCAGAGTAGACTCTTAGTTGTTCTTGGAGATCACTACAGAGGCAACCAGCTAACTAGTAATTACAGGATGTTTAGTGGGCTGTTTTCTCCACCACCACCAAAAACCCCAAAGTGAATTTAGCTTACAAGCTGATTCTTAAAAATAGGTGATCCTCCAAATAGGTAGTGCACAGGAACTTAATGGGTAATGCACTGACAGACCACTAGCACAACTACATTGCACAGGAATTACGTTCCACTTCTTTTTTTTACTAAAGAGGTTGGTTTGTTTCTGCTGCAGTGGAGGTTTTCAAGGCCAAATTACATGTACAGCTTTCATCAAGTAGCAATGTGAGTCACTAATTTGGCTGTTTCTATTGAAAGGGCTCAGCCTCCATTTTTTAGATCCATTGTTCATGACTCAGTTCTTACACAGGCAGTAAGTCTTTGCTCAGTGAAATCTTCCAAAATTCAGCTTCCTTTTTCAATTTTAATCCACATGACTCTCTTTGGTTTGGCCAAGAAAGCCCAGACTAACCTTGCCAGATACTTGGCATATTCACTGGAAATCTGAGGTGTTTTCAAGCCCAGAACTGTGCCACAACTCTTCTATTTTTTTGTTTGTACATCTCGTTCTGGTTTGTTTGTTTTTAAGTCTTGGTCATATACCACCACGCTTATTTGTCAATTAGCTTTAATAAAAGAAAGAGAAAGAGAGAATGGCATAAAGAAATTGCTTTTACACTACTTTTTTTTTGCTTTGATTCCATTTGTTCCCCTCCCGCTTAACTAAGAAAAAAGTGCATAAGACTGAAATACCAATTCAGACAGTTGAGTCTGCATTATGAATTTCCCACAGTATGCAGCTTTGGACTGTCAGATCAGTTTAGCAACCCCTACAAAGCAGAGTTACAAATCATTCATGATTTTCCTCACAGATGTATCAGTGTCTTTGAGCAGAGACATTTTAACCATACAAAATGTCTTCTTTAATATCTGCTCAAGACAAGGAGGGGAAAACTTTGTAAAACCTTGGCCTTGCTTTGGCTCATGCTAAGAATTAATAGCTTCAGTTTTACTTCCTGTCTGTTATAGGTAATAGCTGTTCCACATTCATGCAATTCACATCTTGTCTATCCTCTGTATAAAAGGCCTTTTAGTATAGCATATGACAGACTAGTATTCTATATCCATTTGTACCATTTCTTAAATTAATGCCAACTCCACTGTGTATGAAAGGAAATTAATACATCTTGTATACAGCTGCCAAACTGGACCTCTCAGTTATAATGGTATCCTCTGAGATTGACTCATTTTAATGAAACTTTGAGAAAGAGCAAAACCTATTGTAAAATTGAGATTTTAACCCAACATGAGTGCTTTGCAAATGCTGCTACTTCTCTC